TTTTATCATACTAGATACATTTGAAAGTTCTGTTATAATGCTACTCTGTGCGGTCGTCACCGGTCTATTAAAACGCACAACATATTAAAGCGTTTTTGGTGTTTCCATGTTTTCTACAAAACAAAACCGGAAATCGAAGGTGTATGACGTCATTGGCAGGCGACACAATGACACTATAGACACGGTCCTTGTCACTAGTTAAATTTCCATATTTCTCTGGATTTAAACATTCTTTGAAACATTTGGGATAATGTAAGTACACAAGTCAGCAAAATATTCAAAACTGTTCTAGTGGTTTTTGGATATTTTAATAAAAAACCTTACATATTGTGCCTTTAAATGCAATATTTATTTTTTCAATAAAATATATTCTCCTCAAATCAATGTCAATGCAAAGCAGGACAAAAGTTTGACAAATTACCCCACATGCAGTAGTGTGAGTTAATGTATTAAAGGGGTCATCCGATGCTACATGCACTTTTACAAGTTGTTTGAACTGAAATGTGTGTTGACAGTGTATGTACACAACCACACTATAATGACAAAAATCCACCCAGTGTTTTTTTTTTAATCTGGTTAAATGTTTTCCCCTTTCTCAAATCAAGCCGATCTCAGACGTCACACAGACAGGCCCCTCCCACGATAGTTTGATTGACAGTAGCGTTTCAGCACAGACTGGACTGGTGTCTTACCTTAGACCCGCCCTGAGTGGAATGCGCCCCCGATCTACATATATGCGTCTATGTTCGAGCGAATGATGATCCAGCCTCATCTACAGAAGAAGTGAGTATAATGTTTTGTAATGAATCTTTGCAAATCGCCTTTCCTAATAATGTGCTAATTAGCAAGTTTCTCGATGAATGCGGCTAAAGTAAACTCTCTGAGAGCAGCTCGGAAGGCCATGTCTTAAACGAGTGGTTTTCACGTCTCTATCACTCATATATTAAGACTTTTTGTTTTTGTTCTCTTGCTTATCTGATTTCTTTATTTCTTTCAAACCTCCTTTTTGATTTTTATATTTCTTTCACTTACTTACCTTTATTCTTTTCTGTCCTTCCTTTCTGACTTCTTTCCTCTTTGTGTTGTTTCCTTTACTCTTCCTTCATCTAAATTGTCAGACTCCTTGTTACCTAATTTCTATTTTCTTAGAAAATAGAAATTACTCTTCTTTAAAAAGGGTTCACCCAAAAATGAAAATTCTGTAATTAATTACTCATCATCATGTCGTTCCAAACCAGTAAGACCTTCATTCATCTTCGGAACACAAATGAAGATATTTTTGATGAAATCTGAGAATGCTTGTGCATTCCTCTGCTTGTAAACAAGGCACAGTGCATGCGTGTTCTACGTCAGAACGCCGGCTCCTGCGTCAGCAGCATCACACGCATGCGTCGTGGTACTCTCGTGAACAATGTCCTTACTTTCTTTCTGGGTCTTGAACATGGTAGTTGTGTTGCTGTCTATGCAGAAAGCTCTTGGATTTCATCAGAAATATCTTAATTTGTGTTCCGAAAATGAACAAAGGTCTTATAGGTTTTAGATCGCACCAAGAAAATCACAAAAGCAGAGATTTGGCTTATCTTTAGTTGCTTAAGATCAATTCAGCACCAGTTTTCCAGCTAGTAAGGAGACCTTGTTTTACTTGCGTTTGAGTTGAGAGCTGAGAGGGGTTTTCCTCAATTGGCTAGTCCTAGGGAATCCCGGAGCCTCTGATTGGTTGCCGATCTGTTGTTTGGATGACGTCTTTTTGGGAGAGCCCTCGTGGTGAATGGTTGGTTGCCTTGTGAGTAGGAGCTTCGGAAGTCGGTTGCCTTTAGGTACGGAGAGTGATGCTTGAAGTTCTTCTGAGAGTTTCTTTGCTTGGCTTTAGACTTTGAAGATTTCTTGCGGTCACGAAGTTTCGACAGAGTGTTTGGGGTTTTGGATGACCCAATCGCTTGATGGTGCAGCGTGTGAGCGCCAGTTGGAGCACAGTCGAAAGAGCGAAAGAGGAGCCATTTGGTTTTAAGCGAGCCGATTTGGTCCATCCCAGAAGCGATTGTTCCAATCAGATATTGGCTGCAGTGCTTAGCCACGCGCTGCAAGGTTCCACTTCGTGCATAAATTAACATGATGCTTCAATTTATCACGTGGGGTAACATCCTGGCCAGATTTGGTTAATACTTCTATAGTTTCTTAATCATGCGTATGATACCGAAAATCAACATTTCGTTCCCACCAAAGTCTTGCACATAAAATAAGCTTTCATTCAAGCTCAAATATCGGGTATCTGGCCTACACGTTAATAAACTTATCTACTAAAAAAAAGTTATAAAGCATTGATTAAACTTCATAGGTTACAATAAACACATCAAGCATATATAAGACATAACACATATTATTTGGGAGTATAGTTTTCACTATTATGATGAGTTTTTTTAAATGATTGTCTGTTGAACTTAGTCCATGCAACTTCTGTGTCTGTAAAAGAAGAAACGCGCATTTTTCTGAAATGTAGAGAAAGGGGGAGGACAGAGAAAATCCTGAGGTCAAAGAGGTTGCAAAAAGTCATGCGGTGTAGATCTGCTGATTTTCCCGCTCAGACGATGAAGCTGTAAATCTGTCTTTCTTGTTTATTGGATTATCGATTTATGCTGAAGCTGGTCAAAGTTACACTGCCATCTGGTCCTTGGATAGTCTCAAACAGAGGTCGATTGTCACTGTTCTTTAGATCCGTTGTTTTTGCAGGCCTGGAGCTTGTTCCTGTAAATCATCCCTTTCCGGGGTTCCTCCCATGGATGTGAGCGAAGCGATCATGAGTGACAATCATCCCTTTGTAGTTAAAGTCATTCCAGACAGGGAAAAGTTCTCTCTTCCTCCTGATTGGACTAAGTCTACCATTGCTTTAGGGCTCTCTTGCTTGTTCCTGTAAATCATCCTTTTCCGGGGTTCCTCCCATGGATGTGAGCGAAGCGATCATGAGTGACAATCATCCCTTTGTAGTTAAAGTCATTCCAGACAGGGAAAAGTTCTCTCTTCCTCCTGATTGGACTAAGTCTACCATTGTTTTAGGGCTCTCTTGAGGAGATAAGCAGAGCGAGACAGGAGCTGCTCGAGACAATTGGGCGCCTCGGTTAACCATTGATCAGTTTTACGACTGCAAACTAGGGATGCACCGAAATGAAAATTCTTGGCCGAAGCCAAACATGGAGTTTTTTTCCCCCATGTATTTTGCCCAAAAAAAATTGCACTATTGCATAAATTAAAAAAACAAAATGTGCTTTTTACTGTTTTGTCTTGCTTTTCAAAGAAAAAAAATCAATTACAAAACAACAATTTAAAAATATTTAACACTGAACATTTTTAACATTCTAGCAGACACTATACGAACAAAGCACAATTTACCTTAAAATTAATAAGTTCTTGAATCAGGCATGTATTTATTATTATTATTTTTTTTACTGTACAATTAAAGTCCGCGTGAACCGGAAGTTGCTGCCGGCTTTATTTCAGTGTAGTGACGTATTTCCAGCTGAAACGGAAGAATAGAGGGAGGGCATGGTTTTATGTTTGCGCTCCTCCTCTCTGTCTCTCACTCATAGCAATCTAACGGTTGGAGGGGTGTGTTTAAAAGGATATTCTGCCCAAGCCGTCAAACTGACATCATCAGAGAAGGACTGCCATTCCAGAG